TTCCAATTAAGCAAAAGTCCTAAAAATGTGTCCCCCTGGGTGAGGAATTGGGCAGTTCCAGCCTCAGTCACCACGGGGGCCCTGCCGGGTTTGGGCTGGGCAGTGTTGGACACACAGGAGATTGTGGTTGTGCCAGGGAAATGAGGCAAGAATAAATCCAGGGTTTTAAAAGTTTCCCCATGTGCTGTCCCATTCCTGGGAGGTGCTGGACAAGAGGGAGATGAGGGCAGGAAATCTGGAGAGGAGTCTCTGTTCCCTCAGGCCCCAATCTCAGCCTGAGGGACAGGAGCCAGGGAAGGGCTGGAGCTGGGACAGGGCAGGCTCAAGGTGGATCTCAGGACAAGGTTCTTCCCCCAGAGGGTGGTTGGGCACTGACCAGGCTCCCCAGGGCAGTGGGCACGGCCCCAAGGCTGCCAGAGCTCCAGGAGGGTTTGGACAACGCTCTGAGGGACAGGGGGGAGTGTTGGGGTGTCCTGGGCAGGGCCAGAGCTTGGACTGGATGATCTTTGGAGGTCCCTCTCAACTCAGGATATTCCATGATTCTACCTACAAGGAAGTTGCCTTTCTCCCACCATATGCTCCTACTTTTTCCTTGCTTTCTGAGTTAATCCTCTCCCTCCGCTCCGTGATCCGCCTTTGCCGGGAGCAGCTGTCCCAGAGCTCCCCACAGAACCCCTGGAGCCCAGCACTACCCTGCAGAGGAGCTGGATATTCCCACACGGGTGACCTACTTCACTGCCTAACTGGCTTTGACACTGTTTTCCAGCTCTATGGATTAAGATTTTTCCTTCCTGAAGTCATCGGGCTCTGTCCGAACCTTTCACGACTCTGAACCGTGATGATCAAACCCACAGTGTCTCACTCTGCCCTTTTCCACGGTGTTTTCATGGGAACTTACAACTCATCCAGTTTGGGATGTGGCTTCCAGCAGCACCCAGCAGAGGATGCCCAAGGAAGAGCTCACAAACAAGGTCAGTGTGTTGTCCCTGAGCATTCCCAGTGTCCAGTCAGCTGTGCTTTGGAGTTTCTGCAGGGTGGGTGGTGGGGGATGTTCCCTTATTTAACAACCATTACATTTAACAGACTTTTCCTCTATTAATTGGGTTAATCTCCCAAACCTTTACAGCTTTGCAGTATCACAGAATCACAGAGTATCCTGACATGGAAAGAATCCACGAGGATTAAGAGTCCAGACATGAGCCATGGGCAGGGACACCTTCTATCAGCCCAGGTTGCTCCAAGCCCCGTCCAACCTGGCCTTGGACACTTCCAGGGATCCAGGGGCAGCCACAGCTTCTCTGGGAATTCTATCCCAGCCCCTCAGCACCATCACAGGGAACAATTTCTTCCCAATATCCCATCTAACCCTGCTCTCTGTCAGTTTGAAGCCATTCCCCCTTGTCCTGTCCCTCCAGGCCCTTGTAAAAAGTCCCTCTCCCTCTTTTTCTCAGGCTCCTTTCAGGTGCTGGAAGGACCTTTTGAGATGTGGAGCAAAGAACTGCACAAACCACTCAATATGCAGAGAACTATGGATTTATACTGGGGTGGGTGGGTGACAATGTTCTCTGGTTTGTTCTCTGTCTTGTTCTCTTAACAATTCCAAATATTTTGATTTGTTTCTCTGAGTAAAAGGGAACATTGTGCTGAGATTTTTATAGAAATATTAATCAGAATCCAAAGATCTCAGTTGTGAGTGGAAAACCAGCTTAGAGCCCATTGTTGTACACGGAATTTCCCCCCATGCTCACTCCTTTACTACATCAGATTTTATCTGCCATTTTATTGTACAGTCACTCAGTCTTGTAAGGTCTTTCTTCAGTTCTTCAGAGTGAACATCCCAATTTGTCCTCTACCTTTCCTTTACCTGAATACTCAACATCTTTAGAAGTCTGTGGCATTTCACTGCTCCCCCCCCTTCCCCCAGATCCTTTAGGAATATGTTAAGCAGCACCAGGTCCCTGCAGACTCCTCTTGTGATCCCCCTCTTCTATGAAAACCGACCTTTTATTGTTGTTTTATTTCTGTTTCCTGTCATCCAGCCAGTTTTTGATCCATTCTTCTCTTGCTTCTTGTTGCATAAAGGCCTTTTTAATGTCTTTTCCTTTTTTTTTCAAATGATGCTTTGTCTGGGAACCTCATTGCCCCTGGAAATCCCGGGAATGCTTAAACATGTTTGCTGGTTATCGAGGAAAGAGTTACACACTTCAGCTTTTGGGCAACTGAGTTATCTCAGAGCTCTTGGGTGGAGCCCACCTGATCCCCAGGATGTCTTGACCTTGCCTGCCCTGCACTTTTATTTGTGATAGGTCTCTTAAATTCCCCATAATTCCAAATTCTGGCATGGATTTCACACCTCCAGTGCTGTGTCCAGTTCTGGGCCCCTCAGGACAAGAAGGACATTGAGGGGCTGGAGCGAGTCCAGACAAGGGAACGGGGCTGGGGTAGAAATATTTACATCTAAAATAACCTCCCAGTTCAGAAACAGGACCCAGCTCATTATTTCATGAGTGGCTTGATTTGGAAATATTGTAAATATTTCACTTTCAAAGAGAGGAAAACATGAAAATAACCTGGTCTAGTGGAAGGTGCCCCTGCCCATGGCAGAGGGGTTGGAACTGGGTGATCTTTAAGGTCCCTTCCAACCCAAAGCATCCTGTGAGTCTGTGATTCTGTGAGTCTGTGAGCTGAGCTTGAGGAATGACTTACAAAACCCAACTCCTTTTCTGGACTTGGATCTAATTCCAACCCCCTTCCACCAGACCAGGTTGCTCAGAGCCTCATCCAACCTCACAGGGAAGCTAAAAATAATTTCCATCCTGTCCCTTCCTCCAGTTTAAAGTGTGGCATTAAAAACCACATCCCTCAACATTTTGGGATTGTATCTGATATCTATAATGTGCCAATGGAAAAAGATGTTTTAGGGGACTGAGTTACACAGTTTTACTTTTATGTGACAAGAAGAAAACTAAAAAAAAATACGTGTGTCTCTCTCAGGTGGCTCCAACCATCAGAACAGCCAGGATGTGAATATTAATTACCATTAATTAATTAATTATCAACCTTCACACCCAGTTGCACACTCCTTACAACGAGGAGGAAGAAACATCAGTGGACAAAAGCTGATCCATAAAGTGTAATTTTAGACTTGGGAGTTTTAAAAGTTATTTATATCCCAGCAAAATGTAAACAGCTGAGGGGGTGGGTATCAGTTACTGATACAAGTTATTTGCCCTGGTCCCAAATCAATATTTTAAAAACTTAAATTTAAAAAATGTTCTGTTTCTGTCTCATTTGAGGTCACTGCAAAACTTTAGTGACCAAGGGAATAAAATACCAAGTGAGATCAAACTGGTGAGTTGATTGACTCAAGCTTTTGTCACAAAAAATACTATGGAATATTTGTCTCCCAGATCAATTTTGGGCACCACCTTTTTTGTTAAATACGAGTGTCGATGTTTTCAATATAACTACCAAATTTATATTATTATGTTATTTCAGTATAAACACCAAATTATTTTACAAGGCCTATCAGCACTCAGAGAGTCGATTTTACACATTAATCTCTCATTATTATTATTATATTATTTATTAGATTTTACAAGATTATTTTACTATAATTTTAACATTCTTAAAAGACACCACCTTACTCTTTCTTTCTTTTATTTTATTTTTTTCTGATATCTAAGTACTTTTTATTCAGGATATTCAGTCACTATTTTCTTTCCCCACCAAACTCTTCCAATATTTTTTTTAAAATGTCTAAATCACTTGTTTTGTTTTATCCACTGGTTTTTGTCATCCCCTACATGTTTCATAACACTATTTTCCTTATTTGCTAATTCTTTTGAAAGGCAAGTAAAACTCAGTGCAATTTTCAGTCAGTTCAAGCCCTTTTAAACTATAAACTTAAAAATGGTGCATTTTTGCTGGAAAATTAGTTCATTCTTAATTACCTTTGAAATTCCTTGATCAATATTATGCTTTACAGCATAATATACTTTTATTGTACCTCTCTCAATTTTAACATGACACAAAATCTGACTTTTTAGACCTTCTGTTTGGACTTTTCCTCAGCTGAGTTTCATCTCAATTAGCTTTTCTCACCTTGATATGGGAACAAATCTGTTTATTTTGTTGCCTTCAGTGGTCTTTTGTCATTAGTTCTTTTAAATCTAATATCCTTTAAAGGATAACTTTTAATGAAAAAGGAATTCCAGTGCAGTGGGGGATGTTTTAGAGAACATTGATAAGATTTAATGTCTGGTGCAGTCCCTCTGTGTGGTGCAGATATTTTAATTTCTTTATTATGATCTTCCTCCTTTCTGAGGCATTCAGAAGCACCACTATTTATGTGCTCCAGTGCTGGGATTTGGTGGGATTTCTCCACCAGAGATAATGAATTTTAATTTACTTCCTGTAGTTCAATGTATCAGTTATTTCTTCTATTAACTCCTCAATGTAACTTAGGAGTGAAGCACAGCCTTTCTACTCAGGTGCTCTGAAAAACAATGTTCAGCTCATCAAATGTGCTTGTAGAAACCATGAAGTGATCTAAAAGTTGTCCAACATAGGAATAATATTTGAAATTGCTGTTTGATTAGATTTAATCATCTCTAAACTCTTCCAACACCGTGTGCTCCACATGGTTCTGATGGCAAGCAGAGAAATCACAGGTGCATTTTTGGTAATCACTTTCTAAAACTTCTCCTGTTGAATTCCTTAAGTCAAGTCCCTTCCAACTGAAACCATTCCATGATTCTGTGATTCTACACTGCTGTTCTCTTAGCAAAGATTTCAAAACTATGAAAAAAAGCAGAACAAAAAGTCTCTTTCAGCTTCCCTTTGTTTATCCCAAGTGAGGAATGCTGTCATTCCATATCAACTAATCCATATATTTCAGCTATAGCTTGAGGCAAATATAGAAATCTGATTATTCTAAACAATTTAAATACATTTGTTAAAATAAGGTAGCAAAGAAGATCAGGTAGGAAGGTGGAAGGTGTCCCTGCCCATGGCAGGGGGTGGAACTGGATGATCTTTAAGGTCCCTTCCCACCCAAACTGTTCCATGATTCTCTGATGATCAGGTACATCCATAAAACAAATGTGTGCATCATTCCACTGAAGTTCATATAATTTTTCCAGTTGGTTTCAGTTTAGGTTCATTTGTTCTTAGAGTTGTTTTATTCAGTTCTGGTTCAGGCTCAGCAAATCTTGAAAACAAAAATATCCCATCTAACCCTACTCCCTGTCAGTTTGAAGCCATTCCCCCTTGTCCTGTCCCTCCATCCCTTGGAAATTGTCTCTCTCCATCTTTCCTGGAGCTCCTTCAGGTCCTGGAAGGCCAGAATCAGGTCACCCCAAAGCTTCTCTTCTCCAGGCTGAACAATCCCAGCTCTCCCAGCCTTTCCTCCCAGCAGAGCTGCTCCAGCCCTGGGATCCTCTTGGGGCCTCCTCTGGACTCTCTCCAGCAGCTCCATGTCCTTGCTGTGCTGTTCCCCAGGGCTGGAGCAGCTCTGCAGGTGGAGTAAATAAAACCATGTTAAAAAAACAGGCTGTGGACACCAATATTCCACTGAGAAGCCCATTTCCCCTTTAGTTGTGATTTCCTGAAGGAATTCCCATTCCCAAACAGCGCCTAAAATTGTCAGTCTCACCATTTGTCCAAATTTGGGGTGGATTTTTCGAGTGGATGGACACAGCAGGCTCCTGACAATGAGAGGGCTCGGTGCCAAACATTCCAGCCTTTGCTCTGAGGCTTGAACTGTCTCATTTTGATGAAGTCTTCCCAAATAATTCAGTATGAGGTGGATACTCTGTAAAGAAAATTCGTAACTTAGATCAACCAAAAGCAAATCCTGTTACTGGAGAGGGAATTTTCATGAGGGCCTGGAGTGACAGGACAAGGGGGAACAGTTTGGAGTGGAAAGAGGGCAGATTTAGATATTGGGAAAAAATTGTTCCCTGTGAGGGTGGGGAGGCCCTATGATAGAATTCCCAGAGAAGCTGGGGCTGCCCCTGGATCCCTGGAAGTGTCCAAGGCCAGGTTGGACGGGGCTTGGAGCAACCTGGGCTAGTGGAAGGTGTTGGGGGTTGGACCTGGATGATCTTTGAGGTCCCTTCCAACCCAAACCATTCTGAGATTGTTTCTGCAAAACCAACCACCCTGAGGGTGCTGAACTGTCAGTGCAGAGCCTGGATTTGCACACGGATTTGTTGGGATCCCGAGGGTTTGTTTGTGGGATGTCTGTTGCTAAGCAGAGGGGCAGCTACAGCCTGTTCCAACGGGAGCTTTTTCTGGACACGAGGCTCCAGTTCCTAGAAATGAGTAACTGAAGTACCTTGGAAAAAGTTTTCCAAGAAAAACAGGAGATTGTGAAAGTGATGGCAAAAAAAAAATCAACGTGCTCAGAAGCAACTGTACTGTCCAGGATTGTGTTTTGCTTTATTTTGAGCTCTCCTTGGTTGAGGTAAAAAACAAAACATAAAAATCCCTCTTTTACCTGCCCCACACTAACTAATAACAGTAATTAGCTACATGAGGTAAGTGGCTAATATAAGTAATCAAAGTTAAATGCTCCTTTCTCTTTACACTTTCCCTCTTTTCTCTGAATTGTGAGGTGACTTTGATATCTCACTTCTTGTCCCAAAACAAAAGATGCTCCTCATTACAGGAATGTGCACTGGGTTTTGCTGAGTTTTCCATAAGCACTCCAGGAGGAAGGGAGCACAGATGGGTTTCAGTACTGAAGGGATGAGGAGGAATAGGACAGAACCTTCTTCCAGGTACTCCCACCACTGGCAGGGACTCTGTTTTTATTTATTTTAAATTTTTTATTTATTTCAACTTTGTGAAGCTTAAGAAAATGTACATTCAGTTTGCTACCTCTAAACACCAAGGTTAAAAAACTGCAGTGATTTATCCTAGATAATAAAACTAAATATGTAGAACTGTGGAGTCTGTGAAAGGTTTATTCATTCCCTAATTTCTAAATGGTTTTGCATTCCCTGTTTTCGTGGAGAACAGGAATAAAAATGCCAGGAGACAAGTCTTCAAGCTCTGGTCAAGAAAACAATCTCTGGCAATCAGATTAAGAAATCTATAATGGGAACAGTTCCTTGGGTGCCTGTTTGAACCATCTAATGTCTTCTTGGAAAATAGAATCCCACAGACAACCCCAGCATGGTTTGGGTTGGAAAAGACATTAGAGATCATCCAGTGCCACCCCCTTCCACTATCCCAGGTTGCTCCAAGCCCTGTCCAACCTGGCCTTGGACACTTCCAGGGGCATCCACCACTTTTTTGGGCAACCTAAACTTGCCGTGCCCCTTCAGCTGTGCCCTTTAGGCACATTCCTTGCAGCAGAACCAGCTTTCTCCGAGCTGCACAGACTCTGATTTGTTCAGGATTTCAGTTACTTGGGTTGCTAATGAAAAAAAATAAAAGGCAAAAAAAGGCAAAAAAAAAAAAAGCAGGAATCTGTCACCATCCCTACTCCCTCACCAAGCCACGGTTTAAGAGTGAATTAAAGAATTCCCACTTTAAAATGACGCTGGACACTGGAGCTTGCGCTGTAACACCCCCGTGGAGGCTGCACTGGCTGTTTAGAGGGTGATGTGTGAAGAATTAGGTGAGAATAATGACTTGGGAAAGTACTAAAATTCACAGCTAGGCTCCTGCTTTAGAGGTTTACTTCGGGACTTGGGATTCCGCCGATGGACAACTTCTGTTTCCGCTGGAATCACGGGAATTCCCTGTCTGTGGCCACACCTGGGAGGGATTGAAGGGTTTCTCAGCGCTCAAACTGCACCACGCGTATTTCCACGCCGGGCCTTTCTGTGCTTTGGGCTTTTAATGCGAATTCCCTCCCCGCGTATTTTGCAAGGCATTTAATTGCCTTCCTAAATTTATCGGGACAAGTTCCAGGGAACTCTGAGGGCAGAGGCCGGGGGCGTGCCTGGAAATTCAGTGTGATGAATCACGTGTGTGATTAGAGCAGGGATAAGTTCACTACTGGCATATATGAATTCTTGAGACTGTATAGTGTAGTCAGGGGGATAAATTTAAGGGCAGCGAAACCTTGCCCGGGATTCCATTGTCCGACCGTGGGCTCAGGCGCTGCCACGGCCGCCACAGGCGGCACTCGGACTACAACTCCCGTCGGCCCCCGCGGCGCGCGAAGAACGCAGGGCGCCCGCACCGGCGCGCAAAGCACGCCGGGAGCTGTAGTTGTACAAGGAGGACGCAGCGCGTCACCCGGCCCCACCCTCGAGTTGCCATGACAACCGCGCGGTGGGCGGGGTCGGGCGGGAAGCGGCGTCAGCGTCTGGGAAGTGACGAGCCGGGGACCCGGATGTTGGGGGGGGAGAAGGGGGGGACCTCGGTCACGTGCGCGCGCGGGGTCGTCACGTGACCGGGGCGATGGGGACGGCGCTGGACGTGAGGGTGAAGCGGGCCGGGAAGGTCTATCGCGATGGGGTGCGTCTGTCGCGGGCACATCGCGGGTATAGCGCGGGGGGAGAGGGCGTGACCGAGCCACGGGCGTGAGGGTATCGCGACAACGGCGCCCTGCGGGGCATCGGGAGAAGAGTCGACAGTAGGTCAGAGAGGGGATCCTGCCCCTCTGCCCAGCCCTGGGAGGCACATCTGCAGAGCTGGGTCCAGCTCGGGCTCCTCAGCACAGCAGGGACATGGAGCTGCTGGAAGATGATTCTCCTGCAGAGATGCTGAAGGGATGGAGCATCTCTGGGAGCAGGAAAGGCTGAGGGAGCTGGGGCTGTTCAGCCTCCAGAACAGACCCTGAGAGGGGACCTCCCCCAGGTCTGTGGGGTCTGCAGGGAGGGGGCAGAGGATGGACCAGGCTCTGCTCGGGGGGGCCCAACAATGGCACAAGAGGAACGGGCAGGAACTGATGCCCAGGAAGTTCCACCTGGACAGGAGGAAGAACTTCTTTGCTGGGCAGTGACTGAGCCCTGGGCAGATCGTCCAGAGAGGGTGTGGAGTCTCCTCACCGGAGACATTCCCGACCCACCTGGACACGTTCCTGTGTCACCCGCCCCAGGTGGCCCTGCCCGGGTCGGGGGCTTGGACTGGGCGATCTCCAGAAGTCCCTTCCAACCCCAGCCATTCTGGGATTCCGTGTGTGGGATCGCGGCCCGGCTGCGGGTCCCGGCTTCCCGCTGGGAATCTCCCGGGACCATCGGAGAAGGCGGGATTCCTCGGGAAGCGGCGTCGTCCGCCCTCTCCTGTCGGAGCCGTCGCGGTGCCGCAGCTTTCCCTGTGTCCCGGAGCTTTCCCTGTGTCCCGGAGCTTTCCCTGTATCCCAGGGCTTTCCCTGCGTCCCAGATCTTTCTCCCTATATCCCTACCCACAGTTTTCCCAGTACCCCGGCCCGGAGCTTTTTTCTCTCTGTATCCCGGAGCTTTTTTCCCCTGTATCCCGGAGCTTTTTTCTCCTGTATCCCGGAGCTTTTTTCCCCTGTATCCCGGAGTTTTTTTCCCCTGTATCCCGGAGTTTTTCTCCCTGTATCCCGGAGCTTTTTTCCTCTGTATCCCGGAGCTTTTTTCTCCTGTATCCCAGAGTTTTTTCCCCTGTATCCCGGAGCTTTTTTTCCCCCTGTATCCCGGAGCTTTTTTTCCCCCTGTATCCCGGAGCTTTTTTTCCCCCTGTATCCCGGAGCTTTTTTTTCTCCTGTATCCCGGAGCTTTTTTCCCCTGTATCCCGGAGTTTTTTTCCCCTGTATCCCGGAGTTTTTCTCCCTGTATCCCGGAGCTTTTTTCCTCTGTATCCCGGAGCTTTTTTCTCCTGTATCCCGGAGCTTTTTTCCCCTGTATCCCGAAGTTTTTTCCCCTGTATCCCAGAGCTTTTTGCCCTGTGTCCTGGAGCTTTCCCAGTACCTGGAGCTTTCCCAGTACCTGGAGCTTTCCCTGTGTCCCAGAGTTTTCCCTGTGCCCCAGCCCGGAGCTTTCTCTGTGCCCCATCCCAGAGTTTTCCCTATATCCCTTCCCGGAGCTTTTCCTGTTTCCCTGACCAGGCTCTGGGGAATCCAGTGGGGCTCGAAAGGAAGGGGAAGGAAGGACAGGGAAGGAAAGGAAGGAATATTTTTAATTTTTATCACTATTTATCTAGAAATATTTAGTTTTTCAGCAGAAATGTTCAGGTCTTTTTTTTTTCCTGTCCATCCAGCCACGCACTTGTATCATAAAAATCCTTTCCATGCCCCAAAATTCCATTTATTGAACGGTTTTCATGCTGGGAAAACTGGATTTACAGTTTCTCCCTTTGACTTGCTTTATGTCACTTTTAACTGGATATTTTTTTGAATGTGGGAAAGGGATATTTCTTCTGTTTTAAGCTAAAATTAAGATATTTCTGGTCAGTCAATCTGTCAGTTTTGTTTGTTGCTTCCACTTTAACTCCACGTGGAAAGGTTTGTAATTTTTATTCTTTAACTGGGCCTGGAATTTGGAGGTCTGAGGTGAAAACACGGTGATGGAAGAGCTGTGCACCCTGAATACAACATGGATTTTGAATGGGAATATTATAGGGGCAGAAAGGAGGTGCAGATCTCTAATTAGGCATGGAATGTGTGCAGGTTTGGGTGTTTTTTGGGGGGAAATTTGGTATTTTATACTTCAGAAATGGTCATGTTTGCGAACGTGTTGGAAGAGTAAAGTTTCCTCCTAAATTGTGTGTTAACTCTTAAAGTATTTGAACATCTTGGTGATCTTCTGTGCTTTGAGTTGTACTTTTTAGAAGGACAAATATATTGACAGGTTTGTGCTTAGAGGGGGCCCTGGTTTTACACAAAAAAAGGGCAAAGTAGCACTTCTGGAGACCAGACAGAATTGACTTTATTCCCTGTCACAGAGAAACATCATCTACTGGCACAGAAACTCCTTAAGGAAACATTACAGTGTCTTCTTCATCCTTCTTCCCTTTCCCCCACTCTGGTGACCTGTGAAGGTCTTTTGTTTAATCATGGAATGGTTTGGGTTGGAAAGGACCTTAAAGATCATCCAGTGCCACCCCCTGCCATGGGCAGGGACACCTTCCACTAGTCCAGGTTGCTCCAAGTCCCATCCAACCTGGCCTTGGGCAATTCCAGGGATCCAAGGGCAGCCACAGCTTCCCTGGGAATTCTATCCCAGCCCCTCACCACCCTCACAGCCAACAATTCCTTCCCAATATCCCACCCAACCCTGCTCTCTGTCAGTTTGAAGCCATTCCTCCTTGTCCTGTCCCTCCAGCCCTTGGAAATAGTCTCCCTCCATCTTTCCTGGAGCTCCTTCAGGCCCTGCAAGGCCACAATCAGGTCACCTCAAAGCTTCTCCTCTCCAGGCTGAACAATCCCAGCTCTCCCAGCCTTTCCTCCCAGCAGAGCTGCTCCAGCCCTGGGATCCTCTTGGGGCCTCCTCTGGACTCTCTCCAGCAGCTCCATGTCCTTGCTGGGCTGTTCCCCAGGGCTGGAGCAGCTCTGCAGGGGGGTCTCACCTGAGGGGGCAGAGGGGCAGGATTTTGAGCTGTTTTTTCCATTTTTGAAGAAACGTTGAGAGAAAAATTCTTTTTTAACTTCAAGTCATTCTTCTCCTTTCTGCCCCCAGGACGTGCCCCCTTCCCATATGGAAGTGTGTGGGCAGCAGTTCTGGAAGAGGCTGTTGCTGTGTGGTGGGAAACTTCTTTATTAAAGCAGTTCCTGCGTTCAGGATTGTCCTCACTTCTCATAGCTGAGCTGGACTCGTTTTTCACAGCAATAACCTAATTGCTTGTGCTAATTAAGGCCCCTTAGCAGAGCAGAGCCGAATTTAGGTCAGCTTTTCTTCCCTGTCCTTTTGTGCTCGTGCCTCCTGCCCTGGCATTTCCCACTTGCTGCACATCCTCTTTCCAGCCTTGGTCCTGCTGCCGGATGTTCTCCTGCCCCTTTCTTCCTCAAGCACCCCCCTGACCTATTTTTGACATCCTGTACCACCAGGAAAGACAAAAGGCTGCCAAAATTCCAACAGGAGGTCCTGGTTTGAGCTGGTTGGGTGGAGAGAGGGCAGTGGGAATTCTCCCGTGCTCGGAGCAAGCTCTGTCTTGGTGTCTGTTTGCCTGGTGAGAAGATTGTCCCCTAGGAATTTTTCAGGTTGTCCATCACTTGCTGCCCTTTCCAGCTGTGAATTTTTCCATGGAGCTCGGGATTGAAGCAGATTCTCTGGGGCAGGAGAAGGGAAGGACAAACCCTGGGGAATGGGAAGTGAATCGTGTGTTGCTCCCCTGCACTCTCCTGTTTCTCACTGTTAGAACTCCTGAGCTGACACTCTGAGGATGCAGCAAAAGAATATTTTGTGGACAAAACATCCTTCCTGGGTTGAAGTGGCACATTCTTGGGGTCACACAACTCATGCCTTGGATTCAGATACACTTTGAAACTGTTTCTCCATGTTTCTGTGGCAGAGCAACTGTTGATTTATGTATTTTGTTTAAGTCTATTCTGCCCCACTCCTGAGTTGAGTCACACCTTCTTGGCCATCCCTTTTACCATTGTGCCTTCCCTTCCCTCTCCCATGGCTGTCCATCCCACTTTCCATGTGACAATTCCTCCTGGAAGTTTATTCTAACACATGGAATGGAACTTGTCTGTTGCCAACTGACCCAATTATTCATGAGGGTGTTTTTCATCTTCCTGGAGAGGAAGATCTTGAAACTTTGGGAAGAAGTTGAAGCCCTTCTGCAAAGAGGAGGATGATATTTTTAAGGAAAACAAGCCAGAAGTGCAGAGCTCTCTCCTTACATTCCTTTATCATCACTTTGTGTCTCCTGACGAGGTTACACCATTCTTTGGGAACAGTTTCCTCGAGTTTTAAGATCATGCACTGTCTGGCCAACAGCTCTGGAAAAAGTGCATTTAAACAAATGTTTTCATGTTGTCTTCTCTCCCACCAGGAAGTTCTTTCTGGAGTTGTGGTCATCACAAGTAAGGACACAGTCCAGCACCAGGGAATCTCCTTAACCATGGAGGGGTCAGTAAATCTGCAGCTCAGTGCCAAAAGTGTGGGGGTGTTCGAGGCTTTCTACAACTCTGTCAAGGTAAGGCCTGCACAGCTTGATGTTTTCAGCACAAAAACTCTGTCCTTCTTCCCAGAGGAAATCTCTCCTTAGTGGCTCTCAGGTGGTCAAAAGATTTCATGGCACAGAAATGAGGGAAATGAAGGAAATGGAAATGAAGGAAAGCTCAGCATTAGCTGGAGATCCCAGAATCACAGGATGGTTTGGGTTGGAAGGGACCTTAAAGATCACCCAGTTCCCACCCCCTGCCGTGGGCAGGGACACCTTCCACTAGCCCAGGTTGCTCCAAGCCCCGTCCAACCTGACCTTGGACACTTCCAGGAATCCAGGGGCAGCCACAGCTTCTCTGGGCAACCTGTGCCAGGGCCTCCCCACCCTCACAGGGAAGGATTTCTTCCCAATTTCTAATCTAAATCTACTCTCTTTCAGTTTGAAGCCATTTCCTGTGTCCTGTCCCTCCATCCCTTGTCCCCAGTCCCTCTCCATCTCTCCTGGAGCCCCTTTAGACCCTGGAAGGGGCTTTCAGGTCTCCCTGGAGCCTTCTCTTCTCCAGGTGAACCCCCCCAGCTCTCCCACCCTGGCTCCAGAGCAGAGTTGCTCCAGCCCTTAGATCAACTTAGTGGCCTCCTCTGGGCTTGTTCCAACAGCTCCACATCTTTCTCATGTTGGGGAAAACAACAATAAAATTCCAGAGAGAAAAGAAGTGTCACCTCCAAGCAAAACTCCACTTCCCAGAGTGCTGGAGATGCTGCTGTGGAGCTCCCTGGATGTCTTTGGTCATTAGTGTGATGCAGCCATAAAACAGATCACAAATGGTTGTCTTGAGGAAAATATTAATATTTCTTTTCACTGTAAAGAAACATCCCAACACTGTGTGTCGTGAAAGGTACCTGAGATTCTGGAAAACCAGGAATCTGTTAGAGTTTAGTGGATGTTGTTGGTTCTCTGTTTCAACCTAAACCTCCTTATCATTTCTCTTTGCAGCCTATTCAGATTATTAACAGCACTATTGAAATGGTAAAACCAGGGAAGCTTCCCAGTGGCAAGACAGAAATTCCCTTTGAATTCCCACTGCACATGAAGGGGAACAAAGTCCTGTACGAGACATATCATGGTGTGTTTGTCAATATCCAGGTGAGCTTCTCTCCATAAAAATCTGCCCTTTCATCTAAAGCATCTCTTAATCCATGGGAATTGAGGATAAAGTTTGGTGGTGGAAGTTTTCATAGCACAGAGTGCTTTCTCAATTTGAAGACTGAGCCTTCCACACCATTATCCTGTAAACTTTTAAGGAATGATGGCCCAAAGAAGGTGTTTTGTACCTTGTCACAACTCTGACATCCTGTAGCTGATCCCTCCTTGTCTTGGAGACAACTGTGTCCATTCCCTTCCTGCAAAACAGCTGCACAAAAAGTGTGGGTTTGTTCAAAATAAATGTGTAATCTCACCATGAAAACTCAAACCAAAGTGTTGAGAGCTCGTGGCAGCTTCCAAACCAGGGATTGTTTGCTCTCCCATGAGGAATAACATTCCCTGCCCAAATTTGTGCTGCTGACAGAATCTTGTGGAACCACCACAAGTTTGAGATTGGACCTTTTTTGGTTAAAAATTGTAGTGCCATAAGTGGGTTGGTTGGTTTAGGGGGTTTTTTGGGGGGTTGTTTTGGTTTTATTTTTGAGGCAAAGCCTTTCCTCACCCATGTCTTGAAGGTAAATATTGTGTTAGACAGTTAATTCTTTTATTGCAGTCTGGAATTAAAAAACCAACCTAACTACACCACCCCCTGTCAGAAGTAACTAAAAGAAAAAAAATCCCTTGTTTTTTTGTCTTTTTTTTAAGGATTTCCCATCTATTTTTTCAGTTTTGGCTTTCTTCCCCATGGAACATGTGTTGTTTGTGGTGGGTCTGTCAGAAATGGTGCAGAACTGGTTGAGTTGCTTCCCATATCCCAAATAACTTGCTGTGATCAGCAGCAGTTGGTTTAAGGTGCTCTTTAATGGGGAATATTTGGTTTGTCCTGTCATTCCCTCTCTCCTCTGTGTAGCTTCTCTTGACAAGCTGGGGGATAAAATGCAATTTAAAAAATGAATAATTCAGATTTCAGCCAAACTTTTGAGTCCTGCTCTCCTGAAGAGGAAAATGTAACACTGAGGTGCTGGTTAAGAGACACTTCCTAAACCTCTGTGCAAGGCCTGAGCAGTTTAATTAAGCCTCTCTTTTTTGATTTAGGGATTAGTTGTGGGTTCAAGTCTGTTCTCATGCAGAGACCTTTTAATTATCCACTGATGGGGAAGTTTGGGGCCATGAAGGAGAAGTGAGGAAGCCAAATCCCTGCTCTGAGGGCACCTCTTTTTGCCAATTCCTCATCTGGAAAGAAGGAATTCAAACCAAACCGCAACAAAACCCCCCATCCCAACAAATTCCCTGTCCTGTGAGGACACTCAGAGGCTTTGTTAGAGATGCTGAAGTGTGGGATTACTGGGATAACTATTTTCAGCTGCTGGTTTATGGCTCCCATTTTTAGGGGAGGAATTTGGCAGCAAATTAACCTCATTGCCTGATTTCACTGCAAACTTTAAGCTCAGCTGTGTGGTTAAAGACAGTTCCCCATTAAACACCCACAGAACTGTTACCACTTAAGCTCAACCCTTGCAATAAATTTAAAATTAGGGGGGCTGTGAATACATTGTGTCAATAATCCCTTATCCAGAGGAGAGGGGGTTAAAAACAATTCCATGATCACCCCGAGCTGGAGGTAACAGCAGCAACATTCTGCACAGGGGCAACAAAAGGATGAAAAGGTGAAAGAGGGAGAATAAATCTGAACTGGAGAGAGAATAAATCTGAATTAAAGCTCTTCTTTTCCCTGTGTCATCCCATTCCCACCAGTACACCCTGAGGTGTGACATGAGACGGTCTCTGCTGGCGAAGGACCTGACCAAGACCTGTGAATTCATTGTCCACTCCCTGGTAAGTGAGATTTGGGGGTGTTTTTCTCCACTTTAAGTGAAGTTTAGGAGGTTAGAAAACCAAGTAAACCCGTGGAATTTGTAGTAGTGATATGTGGGATCATCAAAGTGTAAAATCAGGGAATATCCTGAGTTAGGAAAGACACAACAGGATCATCAAATCCAGCTCTTGGCTCTGCACAGGACACTGAGAGAGAGCACTGTCCAAAATACCTGAGTGAAGGAAGCAAACCCCAAAACAAACCCACCCCAAAGAGCTGAGCTGACAGTTCTGATGAGAACAACCCTTTTCTTTTGATTCTAAAGGAAATAGGACAAAGAGGATTTGGATTTTCAGATGGTTTTACACTGCCCTGAGTTTATTCTCTTATTCATCCTCTCAGTTCAGGAACAATGGGGGGGTTGGATAAATATGATGTCATTCTTCTGAACACTGTTTCAAATTATCTCAGGAGTTCTCAGCCAAAGGTTTGAGGCCCCCACAGTGCCTGTCCTAGAAATGGGGGGTTTGGTGGGGAAGAGAAAAATTCCTGATTTCTGTCCTTCAGAGGAGTAGTTATGATTTAGAGCCCTGACTCCAACATCGAAGCTGGCACTGCATCAGGTTGGAAATCCCAGGATCAAGGCTGGAAGAGACCTTCAGGAACATCCAGTCCTACCAGAATCACCCCTAATCCATGACCCCAAGGACCACATCCTGGAACACTTCCAGAATCAGCCACTCCACCACCCCCCTGGGACATTTATTCCAAGGCCTGACCACTCTGGCAGGGAAAAATTGTCCCTAATACCTAATCCTTGTAGGATGAGGTCTGAACTGTCTCCCAGGAAATGTTTTGCTGGTTGTTTGAAGTTCCTGTATCAGATTTGGGTCTGGTTTATGTTGATTTGTGCCTGTCCAGAGCAGCTCAGGACAGTACAGACCTAATTAAACACCTCTTGTTCCATATAAAACTTGCTGGAACATCCTGTTTGTATCATTCCTTTGAACTTCAACAGGACAGTGAATATAAGAATCTTTTGTTTTACTCATGACTAGTGGTGGAAATATGTTATTTTAGCTCTGTAATGCCTTTCTAAAAGATTTAGTTTGGTGTTATAAACAAGTTTATGGTAAGATTTCATTATTTCCTAAAATACATTATGCTACATTTTATTGGTCCATTATTACATTATAAGTGAGCCACACTTGTCAAAACAGTGAAAAATTACATATCCTGCAGTTTTCCTGGTTTTATTTCTTGTTCCCACTACAGCACTTCTGAGATCACAAGTCAGTAAATCATGGATCTCTCAGTCAGGGTGAATTAATGAGGTTTTACTGAACATATAATTCTCACTGTCAGTGCTCAATGCACCATTTCCCTTAAGCTTCTCCTCTGCCAGAATTTGTCATTTTGGGCCAACACAGCCAATCTTTTGCTAATCTCTTCCATCTTGCAGCTGGGCAGCAGCAGCTATTTGGAATTCTCAAGGAGTGAGGGCAGATCCTAACAAAGAATTCCAGTCCAGCCCACTGGTGGTGGATAAGGAGAGGGAGGCAGAGTTTATGCAACTCATTGGCCCTGCCCAAATTTAATAATGAAAGGAAACATTTCCAGGGACGTGTAAAATGAAATTATTTATAAGTTAAAAAACGTGGAATTTAATTTTTTTTCCCCTCTAACACACTGTATGCTTTAGATAGGGAGTGTATTCCTGCTTTTCCAGCTGGTTTGGAGCAGCCAAGTGTTGTGTTTTTTAATCTTCTCTGGATGTTTTGGGGATCAGAGCTCCCAGTTTTAACTCTCTCCTTCCTTGCAGTCACAGAAGGGGAAGCTGCTGCCCAGCCCTGTGGACTTCACAATCACTCCTGAAACCCTGCAAAATGTTAAAGAGGTAAAAGGATTTTCTGTTCTTTTATTTTAAATGGAATGTTTGTGTGATTCTGAGTGAGAGCAGGGCAATGATTAAATGCTGCCCTGCAGATAATCAGCTCTTTTTACCCCCTTCTTTCTCACTTTTCTAAGCAATAAAGTGATTCTGCCTCATCTTTCACGTCATTGTGACCAATTCAAGGTGGAATTTTGTTCAGTAACCATTGGATATTTGTATCCTTTTCCTGAGTGAAAGGAGGCAGTGGAACCAGGGAAAACATTTTATACCATGGATGGCCAAAAGCCCTTAAAAATGTGTATTTTGGTCCTTGGTTGTGCCATTTTTTTACATCCTCACATGGCTTTGGGAAGCCTGCAGGAGGGCAGGATTAGGTGGGATATTGGGAAGAAATTCTTGACTGTGAGGGTGGTGAGGGGCTGGGATAGAATTCCCAGAGAAGCTGTGGCTGCCCTTGGATCCCTGGAAGTGTCCAAGGCCAGACTGGATGGGGCTTGGAGCAACCTGGGCTGGTGGAAGGTGTCCCTGCCCATGGCAGGGGGTGGCACTGGATGATCTTTAAGGTCTCTCCCAACCCAAACCATTCTGGGATTCTATTCCTGCCAATCTCCCTCCTTCACCAGGAGGTTCCAACTCCTGGATGAATTTTAATAGCCAAGAGCTGTCAGTTCATCCCAGGAAAAGTCCATCCCTTGGGCTGATGGAATGGGCAGGAAGGATGCATGGCAAGGGAGAGGATTGTAGAGATGCCCTAATGCAGATGGATAAGGATACAGATTGAAAAAAAATTATTGAAGCTAATTTCTGAACTCCTGAGTTCTTAACCTTGGAACTTTGGGGCATCTCCTGCACATTTGGATAATTCTCTGTAGGGTGGTTTTTTTCCTCCGTCTGCTCTTCCAACAGTGTCTCTTCCTTAAGAGTTGGCCTGGGGTGATCCTCGTGGGTCCCTTCCAGCTCAGAATATCCTTGTGATTCCATCTTTTCCAGAGAGCCTCCCTCCCCAAATTCCTGATCAGGGGGCACCTCAATTCCACCAACTGTGTGATCACCCAGCCCCTGACGGGGGAGCTGGTGGTGGAAAGCGCCGAGGCCGCCGTGAAGAGCATCGAGCTGCAGCTGGTCAGAGTGGAGACCTGTGGTGAGTATCCCTGGAAAACATATGGAACAGCCCACAGGAATTACCTCCTGTGCTTGTTCAGCTTCAATATGGAATATTGTGACAAGCCAGAGAGCATTAAAAAGACCTTCAAAACCACGGTTTGTGCTTCGGATGGAATTTAATTAATTCCAGTTCATTTAAATAACTCCGTTGATCCTTAACTTGCAGCTCAAAAGTTTTTTCCCCCAATCCCAGTGTATCTTTGCTGCTTCCTCTCACCTCTTCCCCTTTCCCTGCTCTCCCTGTGCCTCTGCTCCTTGCCCAGGCTGTGCTGAAGGTTATGCCAGGGACGCCACGGAGATCCAGAACATCCAGATCGCCGACGGCGACGTCTGCAGGGGCCTCCCCATCCCCATCTACATGGTGTTCCCCAGGCTCTTCACCTGCCCCACCCTGGAAACAACCAACTTCAAAGTTGGTGAGTGTGTGGCACTTGATGCTCTGGAGGCATTTTTTTTTTTCCAGCAGGGATGAGTTTCTAGTTTTCCTTCAGCTTCTGGCAGGTAACGGGATAAATCCGGCGCTGCGGGAAGGACCAGGGACATCCTGGTCCTGGAAACACCTCCTGGTGTTTCCCTGGAGAGGCTTCCTGAAGGGGATTTCACAGATTGAGAAAATACAGCCCAAATATTTCCAATAGAAAAAAATTGAGCAACCATTAAACTACTTCTGACTGACAGAATTCCATGATAAAGGGACAGGAGAAACAGTGGAATGCAGGTCATTTTTTTCCCCCTGCTAAAAGTTGCACATAATTAAACACTTGAATAATAATCCAAGAATAAAATTCCCTCTTTTCCTCAGCAGTGAGAACCCCTCTTTCCAATTCCTCTTTGTTTTGTTTCCTGGAAGCAGGAAGGTTGGTCTGGGTGTGACTTTGCTTTTCTTGACCTACACCACCTGCTCCTCCCCGCTGACTGTGGCCAAAATCCAGCATTTTTCTTAAGAAAATGAGGATTTTCCTCACTTGCTCAAACAATTACTGCAAGAATCACTTGGCTGGTTTGGATTTCTTCCCTCCATCCTTTTGGAATCTTGGTACAGAATCTGTGTGCAGTGATTTTCCCCAAAATAATATTCTTACTTATTTTTTGCCATTTTTAGCTCTCGAATAGCAATTTAAATTGTTTGTGTGGGAGCTACTTTTATTTATAAGAAGTATCTTAATATAGTTACAAAGACTCTAATAAAAGGCCAGTTATTTTCAGTTTATTTTGATTTCTGCTTCCCTTCATTTATTAGCTCTGCTTGGCTTTGTCTTGTCTCTATTTGGGATTGATTATTGATCTGATGTTGGATTTTGGCTTTGAATGACACCACATAGTATCTAAAGAGTAGATTTTCTTCTGGAATTTTTGTTCCATACTTGGCAGATCTGTTGTATTCCAGTTTCATTTCCCGAGGCTGTTAAATGCTGGCAACAAGGCAGGAATCTCTCCTGGGATTCTCCCACTTCCATGTTTCTAAACAGCACTTTTAAGTGTCTTTTCCAAAACATTTTGCTCCTTGATGTGTGAACTCTGTTGTCCAAAAGACTTTGAGTCGCTTTTTATCACTGACAACTGAATCCAGAGGAATCCCAAAGATTAGAACAAGGCAGGAAATCTCTAGGAATGGTCCAAGGTGTGGGATCAGGTTCTGCCTGGCAGGATCCAGGTTCACATGGAATCCTCCCTTTTCTTTTCCCCTTCTCCCAGAGTTTGAGGTGAACATCGTGGTCCTCCTGCACGACGACCATCTCATCACTGAGAACTTCCCACTGAAGCTCTGCAGGATGTAAAGGACTTCCTGGAAAAGGCCCAAATTCTTCAGAGGAGAAGTGAAACTTTATCCCTGCCTGACTCCAGCTGGAGCCTCCTCACTCCCCGTGGGTCCTTCTTGTGCTTTCAGTTCTCTGCTCATCTTTCCCAGAGAGCCCACCTGGACTTCCCAATCCAGGCAGCCTTGGCAGGTCTCCTTCTGCCTTCAACAACCATTTTATCCCAACTTTTCCTCAGGCAAATCCTGAAGGAAATGATTTTGCAGCTTTCTACAACTGATGTAAGTACGTAGGAAGTTTCTCTCCTTATTTAATTCCATCATATTTGGTCCAAAATCCTTTGAAGACCCCTCAAACCTGCTGAATCCTGTTTGGCAGGGCATGGGAATTGTGATATAATGATAAATAGGGTCTTTGAAGGGGTAAAAAAAATGGTGCTACAACCCTGGGAGGTGCTGCTGTGGGATCAGTGTGAAAGAAGTGAAGTAACACTGAGGAAATTTTGGTCAAATTGGGAACATGAGTCTGTGTTGGAGGAATAAATTCACCTGTTTGTAACTGTGCAGCTTAAAGGAACTTTATAGGCAAGAAAGAACCTTCCCAACACAAACAGGTTGTGGATTTTGGGGTTGTTTTAATGGAACAGCCACGAGTTGATTTTAATTGTGAATTTTTCCATGAATCTTCCCTGTGGGGGTAGAGGCAGGCTCAGTTATAAAGTATTATGGGAACTGGAAGTGTAAAGGGGAGCTCTTGAAAAGGCAGAGTTAAGAAAAGTGCCCAAAGTCATTTCCTTTGGCTTTATCCAGCAGCTTTGCCAAGCAGGACAGTGGAATTCCAGGGGTGGCCCTGGTGTTTTAGGGAGCAATAGCTGGAATTTTATTTCAGTCTCTTACTGAGGGGGAAAAAAGTGCTATTTAATAAAACTTCACACTTTTCCCTAAGAGCAGGGGATGGTACAGGGTGATTTTTGGGAAGTGGAAGCCACTCTGTAGCCCCGGAGCAGCTCTTCCACCTTCTGTTGTCCTAAGGGATGTGGGAAGAGGAGCCCCAGCACCTGGATTAGGGAGGCTGCAACCCCCTAAAAATACTGGAAGCTGAAAAGGAGGCAAGTGCTGGAATTCCTCAGGCTCCAAGGTGCTTCAGCTCCATGGAATTATTTACTCACCCAGAACTCAAGACTTAGCAGAAATATGACACAAACCCCAACCCTGCATGAGCTGCAGCAGTAATTTTAATTTCTTATTCAAGTGCCAATTCATACACTGATTAATCACAGAGTAGTTTAAAACTTCAGCTGGAGGATATTTATCACTGGGGGGAACAAGTGATCCCTAGAATTAGCTAATGAGCTCATAATCCAGTTAATGCTGCCTGGATTCAGACAACAGCCACATTTGATTTTCAGTTTGAGGTTTTCAGTCTCCACTCCTCATTTTTTGGCTCTTGGAGGCAAATGTGACAGTGCTGAAGGTGCTCTGGCAAGCTCAGACTCTGAAGGCAGTGGGAAAACCATTCTTGGAGCTGTTTATATTCTGCCCCTCACTGGTGACCAATTCCTGCACAAAATACAGATGTTGCTTCAGCTAAAAAAAAATCTTGTCATTCTCATTTAAACAGATCAGCTCTTCAACAGTGGGGGGAAATTCAAACCCTATTTTGAGGGTTTGAATTAAAGAATCCATTAAAGAATGGATCCACTGTATTCCAGCTCCATTCACGTGAACACTTTAAAATTCTTGCTTCAATAAATTACTAAAAGTCAGTATTTAAACAATTTGAATTTATGCAGAGAGAGGAGCTGCAGGGATGAACTGCACTCAAAAGGGCCTGACTGGAATCCTGCAGTTCAACTGGAATTGTTGATGCCAGAGGAAGGGAATATCTTGGCTCTTCCAATTCTGCATTTGGGTATCCTGCTTGTTTGATATTGGAATTTGGTTGCAGTGTGGAATAAACCCGAGGGAAAGCTCCCTCTTCACAGGAATTATGCTCTGGCCTTTCAGATAAAATAGATTTGCTACTTTCAATTAAATAAAAAAAAATAAAGGCCAGTTTTGTGTGCTGCCAGCCCTGAACCACATCAGCTTCCCACATTTAGGCAGCAACCAGGAAAAGTGCTGGATCTTGGAGTCTGGGCCTTAATGCCAAGTGTTAAATCCCGACTCAGCCTGAGCTCTGTCACCACTGCCAATAAAATAAATAAAAATAAAACCAGGGGCCTGGTGCTGTCCCTCAGCTCTGGGGTTACTCTGCAGCCATTTTGCATCTGATTATTATGATTATCATGATTATTATTATTATAAAGTGTTGAAATAAAAGCCAGGACTAGGTGCACTTGTTCCATGCAGGGAGCTCAGGGAAGTCTTCAGGAAGGAGGGCGTGGACACGGCAGATGGGGCAGGTGCTGGAATGTTCCTTGAGCCACGTTCTGATGCACTGCAAGGGCAGGGAGAGAGGGAGGAGGCAAAGGCTGGGGTTAGAAAAATGTTCTCCAGTTCTAATCCATTTATTCTGCAAGAAGAAACCAGCAGTAAAGAAATAAGGCAAAGGGGAAAAGCCACAGACAGGAACATGGAGTTACTCTAACATAATCCTGACTTTTTTTACTCCATGAAGTGGCAAATGTAGGGATAGCCCAGTCCATAACTGCTGCAAGCAATCCAGATTTATTCTCTGAAGGATCACTTAAAATTCACTCTGATGAATTATCACTTTACTTTAAAAAAACCCTAAAGCTTCCTGACACAGTAAAACCGGCTCTTAGGGCGAGTCTGGGGTACAAAGGCTGGGAAAAAGCAAATTGTGCCCATTTGTTTAAGCACTGAGGGGTAAATGGAGAGTTCAGAAAACAAGAAAACAAGCCCAGAACTTACTTCTCTGTGAAAATGATGCCCACACTCCAGTTCACACGAGTCTCTGCTCAGCTCATCGTGACAGATCGTGCAGGGATCCTCACTGGAGGCCTGCACATGGAATGCTCAGTTATTGGAAAGCCAGCAGCAATTAATCAGCAAAATTCCACTAAGTCAATTAGTTTACTAACTTTAACCAGGTCTATTTAAGCTTTTGTACACAAAATAAATGAGCCAGTTATTTTTTTTTCCCCAGCAATACCCCGATTGTTTCGTGTCTTGGACGGAGCACATGGCAACAAGGAGAACTTACTGCATTGTCCTTCTTTTTCCATTTAGCTTTAGGTGTTGCTCCAACATTCCCCCAGGGCTGGAGGTTTGGCTGAGATGGGTTTTTATTTGAGGTGTTTTTAGGTGCAGGTCCTGCTCTGGAGGGACTGGGGGCATTTCCTTCTGCAGCCACTTCCTGACTCCGTGTTCTGGTCGGGGCTGGTGGAGCAGAGACTCTCCCTGCTGAAGTTGGTGCCTGAACAGACAAAGAAAGGAATTTGGAGTGAGTTTGTATTTAGAGCTGGACAGCAAAGGACACTTTGTGTTGTTTGGGGCTGTGCTGCTCTGTTCCCTCTGTCAGAAGATTCCCAGGAAGAGGCAGCAGCTCCACCCCCTCATACCTGGCTCTGCTGGTCCAGGATCAGCTCCGTCACTCGGTTCAGAACCTCATCGAAGCTCAGACCTGACAGTGTGTTCCTATTTCTTCTTTGTACCTCTCTTATAAAACCAGTGAAATCTGAACTGCAGGGACAGGAAAAACAAGGATCAATGACTGGTAACACGACACTGGAGGCTCCATGTTTGATTCCCACCAGAAGAGCCTTAAAAACACCAACTTCTCCCACAAACTGGAGCAGGAGGTGCCTGTTCCAGGAACTCTCAGTAACCAGGATCTGCCTTAATTGTAAAAAACCCTAAACAATAATCAGAATCACAGAGTGGTTGGGTTGGAAGGGACCTTTAAGATCATCCCATTCCAACCCCCTGCCATGGGCAGGGACATCTTCCACTAGACCAGGTTGCTCCAGCCTGGCCTTGGACACTTCCAGGGATCCAGGGGCAACCTGTGCTGTGCCAGGGCCTCCCCACCCTCACAGCCAAGAATTCCTTCCCAATATCCCATCTAACCCTGCCCTCTGTCAGTTTGAACCATTCCCCCTTGTCCTGTCACTCCAGGCCCTTGGAAACAGAACCAAACCAGTCCCTGTTGTACATTACACCCATTAAAACATTCCACTCATTCCAACCAATACCTGCTGTAGTTTGGGAATATACTCTGGAGCCGTGCAATAATATTTTCCAGTGCTTTTGGAAGCTTTTTGTTGTTTGGAAGTGCAGGAGGCCTTGGCTGCAGAGCTGAGGCATCCTGGTGGTTCTGGGTTGGCTGATTGTCACTTCCAGAAATCCCTGATGGGTGAGATGACGGGAGTTTATTGGAATATGATCCCTCTGGAGGTTGGGGATGTGTTTTCACGGATCCACCACTTGCAGAACAAGCCTCAGCAGTGGCTGGTGCTGCCTTAGCTCCAGGCTGGGTTTGAAAGGATGGTTGTGTTGGACCTTGACCTTCAGGACTGGAAAATGCAGGGAGTGAACTGGGATGTGCAGGTGCCAAGGAATAGGTGACAATGGCTGGGTCACTGACCAAAGGTCTGGCTGGGATTGTCTAGGAAACAAAACACATTTCACAGGAAAAAGTGACTAAAACAAATCTGGGTTAAACTCTGGAGCATTTGCAGCTTGAATTATGACACATTTGGTGTGCCAAGGTCTCAATTTATCCTTAAGATCAGTGCAGTTGTTTGACCTCAAGACTATTTTCTTTCAGGTTTCTCTTCTAAAAGGTTATTCTGGTCTTACTGCAGAAAAAAAAACAGATTCCAAAGGCAGAACAAGAGGCTCAAAAGTTGCTCTTTCCCAACCTGGAAATTGGGGGTGATTAAGTTATGGACATATTCTGTGACAATAAGTAGAAAGGAGATACCTAAAAATAAGTGAGGAAGGAATAGTATGTAGGGAAAAAGGAGTGGAATTATTATCTCTAGAAGTCTAGAGAAAGTGTAGTAATAATCTCAAATTTACAGTATTAGAACAGAGTCCTGAATCTAAATTATACCCAGAACAAACAAGAGAAAAAATCTAAATTATACCCAGAACAAACAAGAGAAAACCCCCTGATTTTCTGCAGAGAGAAAACACATGTAAAATATAAAAAGGACCATCACAAGGTTAAGAAGAAACTGCCATGATTTGAGCAAAGCATCTGTGGAACTGTTGGCCCATGAGAAAACGTCTTTGAGCAGGATTTCCCTGGGCTGTGCTCATTCCAGAGGCAGTTCCAGAAGTGGCTGGACTCCAGATGTGGCTGGAAGTTGATTTTGGTGTTTGTTATCACTCACAGGTGTTGGTGTAACAATGTCTTCAGGAGGAATTTCCTCCTGGAAAGGGTGTTCAGGCCTTGGCAGGGGCTGCCCAGGGAGGTTTGGAGTGCCCATCCCTGGAGGTGCCCAAGGAAGGCCTGGATGTGGCACTCAGTGCTCTGGGCTGGGGGACAAGGTGGGCATCGGGCACAGGGGGGACTGGATGACCTTGGAGGGCTTTTCCAGCCTCAGGGATTCTGGGATTCTGTGCAATGGGGCTTATCCTGATGGATTTTGGAGCTGTTCAACCTGGAGAAGAAAAGGCTCCAGGGAGACCTCAGAGCCCCTTCCAGGGCCTAAAGGGGCTCCAAGAGAGCTGGAGAGGGACTTGGGACAAAGACCTGGGTGACAAGACAAGAGGGAATGGCCTTAAGCTAAAAGAGGGCAGGGTTAGATGGGATATTGGGAAGAAATTCTTGGATGTGAGGGTGGGGAGGCCCTGGCCCAGGTTGCCCAGAGAAGCTGTGGCTGCCCCTGGATCCCTGGAAGTGTCCAAGGCCAGGTTGGAGCAACCTGGGCTGGTGGAAGGTGTCCCTGCTATGGCAGGGGGTCAGAATGAGATGATCTTTAAGGTCCTTTCCAACCCAAAGCTTCTGTGATTCCACGATTTTGCTTCTACAGGAAAACCAGGATGTGCAAAACCATCAGTGCAGCACCTTCAGTTCAACTTTAAAACAGCTTAAAAACCTCTCAAAGCAAACTGAAAGAACTTAAAACTGCCATGAAAGGTGAGATACTCACCAGGACACTGGGAGGAGAGGGAATATCCATAATTTCCACCTTAGTGAGGGAAATCTGGGCACCACTTTTCACCAGCTCAATTTTCTCCTCATACTCAGCCTGCAGAGGAAAAACAAACCATCATCCTCCACCTCAGCTTGAATTAAGAGATCCCTCTTCATTTCACATTTACACTTTACATTTGAACTTTTCCAGAGAGTTTTTTAAAGAAGTTCCACGAATTTCTAAAGAAATCTAAAAGAACCAAGAGATCAGACTTGTTAATGTGGGATCCAATTTTGAAACACGTGGATAAAGGACAGGGGGTTTTTGCCTTTGTAAAATTGAAGATATTCACTGTAAATTTATTTAAATAACCTGGACTTAAAACTGTGTCTTTCTTTTGTAATTAAAAAAAAAATAAATTCCAGGTCAGTACTCGGTGTTTTAAAAAAAGGAATGCAAAGTTATTTCAGGTATTTATTCTGTTTTAATTTCCCAAATTCAACTTTAAGGCTTGCTAAGAGAAAGGAAGCCTTACCTCTACTTTTTCCAGCTGTTTCTTTACATTGGAAATAAAAGTTTCCCAGGAATCAATCTGTGACTTCAACAAAGGTGCTGCTGAAGCTGAGCTGCTGAAATATTGAAGATTTGCAGTTAAATTCCAACATTCCCATCATTTTTCTTTAAGACCAGTGGTGTCTGTACAAGTTTCTCCCTCACCAACTAATCACAGTTCAAGATTTCAAGGGATTTCGGGTTAAAAAGTTAAATTCTTGGTGTTTAGATTCCATCCAATCCCAGAAGTGAATTCCTACCATGGAATTTAGGATTTTGCAGCAACATAAGGACAGGGAAAGGGAACATGACTTAAATTTAAGGTGCCATCAAGGGCTAAATCAGGTCCTTGTAAGGAAGAAAACAACCTTGGCTGCCCAGTATTTTCTGTTTACACTTCAGTTCTCTCCCAGGGAAAACTGGGAATAACTGGAATGTTCCCAGGTGCCTGATCTTCCCCAGCTCAGACAGAAAACAGGGATAAGGATGAGCCTCAAAGACCAGTTGAATTTTGGTTGGGGCAATACTAAATACCCCAAATCCTGTGTACTTCAATATTATAATTTAATGTTTTCTATAAATATTATATTTTATTCAGTTATGTAATATGAAGATAAATGTTATTAAAAACCACCCCAAAATTACAGGTGAGTTTTGCTCCCAGAGGGATGCCAGCCTGAAACATAAGTTAAAGGCAGCTTTTCCTCAAGCTGAGTTAAATTAAACATTTATAATTCATATTCTTATATGTTATATATATTTTTTATATATTTTTATAGATATAAAATATATTAAAATATATATACTAAAATTTATATATTATATATTTTATGTATACAGTATATATATTATATCTAAATATATATTTAGATATTTATATAATTTGTATATATTATACATTATATCTAAATATATATTTATATATTTATATAATCTATATATTATACATTATATATAATATATAAATATATTTATATATTTATATAATTTTCATATATTATACATTATATATAAAATATATAAAATAGTTTATAAATATATTACATATATTTTATAAACTATAGATCTTTTATATATTATTTAATATCTTTTATATATTTTATACATTAAAAATTTATATTCTTAAAAAATATAAAAATGAAGTTAGTTTTAAAAATCCCCCAGATGTGTGATACTAAATATTTTAATATTAAAAATGTAAATATTTTCATAATATTTAACCACTATAATAATAATAACTGTGAATAAACACTCTGTAATTGTATTTAACAACCAGGAGCACTGAAATTTGTGGTGTGAACTCTCTGCACCTGCTCAGTGTCTTCAGCATCTTGAGATTTGCTTCTGCTTTGGCAACGGTGCCACTGAGCTTCCAAACTTCAGTTTCCTTCCAGTTCTGGAATACTGAGATCTGGAACCAAAGAATTAAAAAAAAAAAGTGTTAAAAAACCCCTAAAACACGAGGGGACAAAACCCCCTCAAACTAAATTTTAATTAGAAATTAAATTGAATTAGAATCTGAAACAAGAGTTGGACGACACAAAGCACAACCACACCCAGTTCCTACAGGGAGGAATTCCAAGTGGAATGAACATCCCAGGGCTTTGGGGAGGATAAAAAGGCTTCATTCACTTCAGCTCCATCCTTAAATGTTCCCTTTGCAACTTATCCCACATAAACACACACATCTATATGCAAATAAACAGATATTTAGATATAAAAGGCAGCCTTTTAAATACTGCAAGGTTGAAGACTAGTGTGGACCAACAAGAGCCTTCAAGCTCTTCCTAAGAAGGGAGAATTGTTCACAATATTCTCCATATTCCAAGCATAAAATATCTTAGTTTAGAAAAAATATTGATACATGAGTTTTACCTGCATAAGGAAGTAGCTACATATTCATTAATAACTTAAAACAAGGAGCTTTTTAATGTTTCTGTGGTTAATTCCAAATGGAATCTCTTCATAAACAAGGATGTGACTCAGTTACCAGGGTTGAAATTTGTTTAGGGCAATAATTTATGCCCCAAATTTTCTGCACTTTTAATACTAATTAATAATAATAATAATAATAATAATAATAATAATAATGCACCTTGACCTGCAAAGTTTTGTGGGAAAACATCAGGAACAGCACTTATATCAATATTGGAATAACATTTTTATATCACCTTCCCCACCTCCAATGAGCACAAATGATCCAAGCTCTAGCAAAAGGTTTTTAAGGTTATTTTATTTTATTTTTTTTTTGGTTTGTACCTCTGCTTTAACAGCTCTTTTCACACACTCCTGGCAGTCATCTTGACTCTTTTTTATAAGCTCTTCCAATTTTACTTTCTCATTAGCAAATTTATTACTGTGAAATAAAAAGAAGTTAAATATTTGAGTAACATTTCCAGCAGAGCAGTATTTAAAATTTATGCCATTTTAGAGGTTTTCTACAGCTACTCTCTCTACTCAGTATCATGTAATCAAGGGAAATGTATAAGAGTATGATGAAAAGACAGATCTCCATTATTCTAAATATTAATATTTACTCAGGATAAGTAAATTAAACAAACTTAAGAGTAAGAGATACAGGTTAAAGTGCTTATTTCTCTCTGAGCCTTTACCCAGAGTGAAGCAGAAAACTCCAATATTGACAAATCAGCAGAAAAAATATTGCAGAAAAGTACAAGACTTTTACCTGGTATCCAGAAATGTATTTAAATATACATTATATTGCTTTTCCTTGTCATCAATGGTCTTCAAATACCTGCAGGAATGAAACATTTATTAAACTTGTGCTGATAAAGGTTCGTTGGTAAATGTGTAACAGGTTCCTCTGTGGCCACAATGACAACCTGTGTGCTTTAGATACTGTTGTATCTTAATATCTGTATATTTTAGATATTGTTTAATGCCATAAATATTATGGTATTCCCACTCCTGGAAGTGTCCAAGGCCACATTTGGATCTTGGAGCAACCTGGGCTAGTGGAAGGTGTCCCTGCCCGTGGCAGGGGGCTGGGACTGGATGAGCTTTAAGGTCCCTTCCAACCCAAACCATTCCATGATTCTATCCTAAAGATATTTAAGTATATTCCTAATAAATCAGCAACTAATATAAAAACCAGGCTGATGGATTTTTCCAGAGAAATTTGGCCCAAAGAATAAAGATAAAACAACAGCACTGAAGGACCAAACTCCTCAGGGCTCTTGGACATCTTGACTTACCCAGCCAAGGGTTAGGTTTAGATATATAATAAGTGAAATATATCTGTAAAAGTCAGAGATACCTGATGTCTTTCAAATGTCAGACTGCTGTAAATCTGTGTTTAAAATCAGTACCTCTCATTGGTGTCTGTGTGTTTTTTAGCTGTGCCCCTCAGTGCTTTTAAATTATCTCTGTTCTCTTTTTTCTCCTGCTGCCATTTCTTCCCTTGTGCTTCCGAGTCCTGGTGAAACCAATCCAGTTCGTTCTGGGAGACCTGAAAGCAGAAATCAAAGCTTCTGAAGTTTCTGAAAAACAGTGTTTTATTCAGATGTGGGGTTGAGCAGAATGAGGATATTTATCACAGAATCATAGAATCAGCTGGGTTGGAAGGGACTTCCGAGATCATCAAGTCCAACCCTTGATCCAACCCCGCCGTGGTTCCCAGCCCATGGCACTGATGCCACATCCAGTCTCTTCTTAAAAACCTCCAGGGATGGAGAATCCACCCCTTCCCTGGGCAGCCCATTCCAATGGCTGATCACCCTCTCTGGAAAGAAATTCTTTCTAATATCCAACCTAAACCTCCCCTGGCACAGCTTAAGACCATGACCTCTTGTCTTGCTGAGAGTTGCCTGGGAAAAGAGACCAACCCCCCCCTGGCTCCCCCCTCCTGTCAGCGAGTTGCAGAGAGTGAGGAGGTCTCCCCTGAGCCTCCTCTTCTCCAGGCTGAACAGCCCCAGCTCCCTCAGCCTCTCCTCACAGCACTTGTGCTCCAGTCCCTTCCCCAGCCTCGTTGCTCTTCTCTGGACCTGCTCCAGGACCTCAATATCCTTCCTGAGCCGAGGGCCCAGAGCTGGACACAGCACTCCAGGGGTGGCCTCACCAGTGCTGAGTCCAGGGCAAGAATCACTTCCCTGGACCTGTTGGCCACACTGTTCCTGAGCCAGGCCAGGATCCATTGGCCTTCTTGGCCACCTGGGCACACTCTGGCTCATGTTCAGCTTCCTGTCCATCCACACTCCCAGCTCCCTTCCTGCCTGGCTGCTCTCCAGCCACTCTGTCCCCAGCCTGTAGCGCTGCAGGGGGTTGTTGTGTTATGATCCATCACAGACTGGGGTTGGAAGGGACCTTAAAGATCATCCCATTCCACCCCCTGCCATGGGTAGAGACTCCTTCCACTATCCCAGCTTGCTCCAACGTGGCCTTGGACACTTCCAGGGACGGGGATTCCACACCCTCTGATCCATGGACAGAAGTTTTACCTCAGTCTCTTCCACACTTTTCCTCAGGAGCTCTTCCAAAGCACCGATTTCCTCCGAACTTCGGCTTTGCAGCTGCTCAAATTTCTCCTCTGCCTCTTTCAGTTGTTCTTTCAGCACCTGATGCTCCTTTTCCACACGCAGAATATCTCCCTGAAAAGAAATCAGGTGACAAAACCCAATCTAAATGACACATTTTCTCACTTTCATCTCCTGGCACAGACATAAACCTGCCATTAACACCACTCTGAACTGTCTATGTGTCCAAATTGAGTGTTTTTATCAAGCCTCAAGATTTTTGGAAGGGAAATACAGTCTCCCTAAAATACAGAACAAAGCTCAAAACCCTTCCTGTTGTGGGCCTGTGTGAAGTTTCCATGAAGAACATCACAGAATACAGAAAAAGAGGTCAAACCACACACCACCAAACCACCCAAAATACAGAAATTCCTCTTAAAATATGTCATTTTCAGAGAACCTTATCTTCTCACTACTAAATTTTTTGGGCATTCCTTTAACCTTCTTTATTAGAAATACAAAGATGTAACTTACTTGTTGGTTTTCAAATGGATGGAAAGGCAGGGTGTTGGTTTCCCTATCAGCTACTTCCTGATTGACCTAAAATACGAGAAATTATGAGTAAATTAAAAAGCTTTCCAGTTTATAGATACAACTACAAGGTCAGCTCTGGCTTGGAGCTCTTGTACCTCACCTACAGCTTTACAAACCCAACTGATTTACTGAGCAGGTCTAAAACAATGCAGAAAAATGTTGTGCAAGTGTTTCTGGAAGGGACTTCAACCTGTAAAGAAAGCACTTGTCTGTCTGACCTTTCCCTAATTTCACGAGCATTTACACTGAGAGGCTTCAAACACAGCTGTGCCCTAAATGTCTGAGAACTTAATATTTGCAATAAGTGTCTGACAGCTCCCCGAGAAGCTGTTTTGTGACTCCTAAACTCAAGATCTGCCACAGAAGTGCCTCTGCTTAGAAGGGACTCCAGGACCCTGTTTTGCTCCACCACTGAAAGACCTTCAGTGAAAGAACTGAAGTTCCTGATGTCCCTGTTCTAACAGGCTGTTCAAAATCACGGTCAGATAAGGTTAAAATCATGGAATTGTTTAGGCTGGAAAAGAGCTTTAAGATCATCAAGTCCAACCATGCCCCCAGCACTGCCAGGGCCACCATGGACCCATGTCCCCAAGTGCCACATCCACACAGCTTTAGGGCCACCATCTCCCTGGGCAGCCCCTTCCAATGCTTGACAACCTTTGCTGTGGAGAAATTCCTCCCAATATCCAACCTGAGCCTCCCCTGGCACAGCTGGAGGCCGTTCCCTCTCCTCCTGTCCCTTGTTCCCTGGCAGCAGAGCCCGACCCCCCCTGGCTCCCCCCTCCTGTCAGGGGGTTGCAGAGCCAGAAGGTCCCCCCTGAGCCTCCTTTTCTCCAGGCTGAGCCTCCCCAGCTCCCTCAGCCATTCCTGCTGCTCCAGCCCCTTCCCCAGCTCCGTTCCCTTCCCTGCACACGCTCCAGCCCCTCCATGTCTCTCTTCCATGAGGTTCCAGAACTGGGCACAGAAACTGGAGTTTCCCCCTTAACTGACCCTAAAACCTGGACCACCACTGTGAGACCACAAGGAAAACATCAGCCAGCAACTGTTAAATTGCACAAATGCTGTGAAAGTGAAAACAAATCACTGAACTAACTACAAAAGGAAAAATGACAGCACAGAAGGACTTTCCTTCATCTCCAAAGCAAAGCTGGAACTAATTGTGCCCCAGCTCCCTCCTCTGGTGCCCAGTCAAAACTTCTGCACAAACTTGAGGCAGAACAAACTTCAGTGAGCAGCTCTTCAAAGAATTACAAATTAAAAACAAGAGTAGTCGTAGAAAGTGGCAGCAGCTTAAACTGGAAGTTCTAAGGCATCATAGGATGGTTTAAATTGGAAGGGAACTTAAAGGATCAACTTGTTCCAGTCCCCTGCCACGGGCAGGGACACCTTCCACTAGCCCAGGTTGCTCCAAGCTCTGTCCAGCCTGGCCTTGGACACTTCCAGGGATCCAGGGGCAGCCACAGCTTCTCTGGGAATTCTATCCCAGCCTCTCACCACCCTCATAGAGAAGAATTTCCTTCCCAATATCCAATCCAACCCTGCCCTCTGGCAGTTTGAAGCCATTCCCCTTGTCCTGTCCCTCCAGCCCTTGGAAATAGTCTCTCTCCATCTTTCCTGGAGCTCCTTCAGGCCCTGCAAGGCCACAATCAGGTCACCCCAAAGCTTCTCCTCTCCAGGCTGAACAATCCCAGCTCTCCCAGCCTTTCCTCCCAGCAGAGCTGCTCCATCCCTCTGATCCTCTTGGTGGCCTAAAAAGCCCTCAAACAATGATCCCATTTTCATTTCTCACCTGAACAGCCACCATCCTTATATGGGGGTTGCTCTTCATTCCAGGTTTACTTTTGCTTCCTTTTTCCACCTTAATAACCTGTTTACCATTTTCAGCTTCATCTGAACTACCTGGAGCAGCCAAATCCTCTTTATCCACCGTGTTATCCGAGTTCTCCCAAGGGTCTTCACGCGTTTGGATTTCAGTTGGGATAAAACCATCACAGACGTATTTTCCAGCTGGAATTGCTGATTCCTGATTATCCTGAGGAGCTGCAGGATCAGCACAGATATAACCAGGCTGCCTGGCAACAAGTGGCAGGACAGGCACTGGAGAAGGCACAGGCAATATCCTTCCATACTGGTAACCCCAGGAAGTCTGAGGCAAAAATATGGGATTTGTAGAATCCAAGTTCTTTAGTAAAATGGCTGCAAACGATGACTTGTTTTCCATGGAATCAATCCTCTGGCTTTGCAAGGAATTCCTGGATCTACAGGAAGCAGGGAAGGAATAGGGCAAATACTGTAGAGCCTCATAACTTAAATCAGGTGATGGTGTTATATGGGGTTGAATAGGGCAGGACTGGGGCTTGAATTCCTCAGCATCTGGATTTAACCGGAGGTTTTTCCGGGAATGATTTCCTTGCACGTTCCCATCTATACAATTTTCATTTCTGTTTGTAATTCCCTCAAAGAAGACCGAGTGCTTCCTTAAGCAAATAAGGTTATCCACCATAATGAAATGAAGGGATTTCAGAAGGAAAGATTCCAGGCCACCCTGATCCTCCACCACCTTTCGAGTTTCTTCAGGGAAATTTTCATATTCCCCAACTAGTAATTTATTATTAATTTCCAGAGGGCCATGTTCGTCCAAGATTTGAGAGAAATACCTGAAAAAAAAATTTAAAAATTGTTACTTTTAATCAAAATTTTTTAATTTCATTCTAAACTTGTATTTCAGTGTATTATTCCATACCTTTATGGACACACCTACATACACCAGACCCCCCCAAATTATGGACTTAATGCAATAAATTATAAGCATTATGAAGTAAAATTAAACCCTTGAAGTTGCTGAGTACAGAAATTTATACTTACTCATATAAACTCTCGGAGACTGGATCTGGATTATTATAACTGTTACTATTTGAAACTTCATAGAGAGCTTCAAATTCCTCCAGTTGCTCCTGGAGATACTCTGGGATTACAAATGGTTCATTTGTAAAATCTGTGTATCTTAAAAAGAATAAAAGAGAGAAAGTTAACCCAGACTTGGTGTTTTTAAGTGATTCTGGGCAGTAAAAAAAAAAAAAAGAGATAAATGATGGCACTTACAAATTATTTTCTTCTATAAATATCTTCTCTTCTTCTCGTGGGGCTGTACTAACTCCACTGGATAATACTAAAATAGACTAATTGAAAACAGGTTGATTTGATTATTTTATGTCACAAAATTACAGGCAAAATGATCCCCTGTAAAGACCAGGAGTAACTTGTTTACACTCTGATTTTGTTCTGTGACTCGTTACGTTCAAATTATGAACTGCAAAAACTTCTTGGACAATGACTGGCCCCAGCAAGGAAGTTCTTAATTTAAAATTATTCATTTCTTCTTCAGAACTTCTTTTGGAAAAAGGAAATTGGGATATTCGGCCCAACATCCTTTTTTTTTTTACCAATTTTATCCAAATTTAATCAAATTTCCTTTACGTTGGAGGCAACTTCACCACAGGCAAGTCTGAGTTACCCCACATGGTTTAATGACACCTGTTATTCTCATGTTCACCATTACAAACATTTGAGTTGTCTCTGAATCTTTATTCTCTAATAAATTTGTATAATCTAATATTTTATTATCTAATCAACTTGTCTAAATGCACCTAAGTCAGAAAAACAAAAACCTGGCTGATGAGAACAAGAAGAAAAAACAAAATCTTCATTTTCCTCCTGGAATTCTAGTAAAATTATAAAAAGGTGGGGGCGTGGAGACTGTATCTGAAACTTTTAATAAAGCAAAATCCTCGAATAAGACTCAGGTAGAATATTATTCCCAGCAAAATCTATAAAATAACAACAGTTCTCTGAGCATTAAGTGGAACAGCTGCATCCTCAGTCACTGATATGCCCATAAAAATGATCAGAAAAATCAGTTAAACACAGAATTTCATGTATTTAATCAGGTGTGAGGACATAATTTTTTAAAGTGTCCAAATTTGCCAAACAAAACAGGGCATAAAGTGTTAATTCCACAGTGCAGTCAATGCACACCTTCCAATATGGCAAATTAAGGATCAAAACAGTAATTCAGAATTAAGAGTCAAAGGTATCCACAAAGAACTTCTTTACTTCTTTTTTTTTTCAAGTTTAGAATTACCTTCTTTGCTGACAAATTCACATTTTAACAAAACAAAACCAGTGTGAGCTGAGTATTAACAGCACTTTTCTACTTGGGGAAAAATCACTTCAATAATGAATTAACACCTAAATACCTCGAGGTATTTAGGAAAGCAGCCTCTATACATGGGAATGCCAGAAATCCTATAAAAATCCAAATTTTTAAATGGGTTTTAATAGTAATTAAATAGTGTCTGCTTAGCAGTGTCTCCTTTAGCAGCTTAAAAGTTACTCACCCTCGAGTCTTTCAAGTTTTTCTTCCTGTTTTTGTTTTTAACTTTGATATCATTAGTCTGAAACAGAAAAAATAGTCACTGGGTGTTTTGTTTGTTTTTTTTTTCCAATTAGAATAAAATTCTGATGCGTTTCCAAAAGCAGCAGGTAAATCTTTCAAGTTTCATATGAAAATTCTCATTCTGGTTTGCCCACCAAGGTGAAATTCTCCCTCTCCACTTCTTCTCCAAGAGGAAAATACAAAAAAAACCCCCAGAGCTTTGAAAGGCTTGATCTATTTTATTCATCATTTTCCGCTTTGAACACTTAAAATATTGACTTTTAAAATCAGAACATTGTGTTATTTTATTCTTTCAGCTCCTTGCTCATTACTTAAGAGCCAAAATTGCAGATTTTAAAATCATCCCACACCAGTTTTGTGTGGGGAAAAAGTAAACAGGGCTCTCAAATGTTGCTTCAGTTTTCCAAGATATTCAAAGATGAAGGAATTAAAATGCTAATTAACTCTTTAACAGGACCTTAATTATAGATCAACATGATTCCACTCACAGCAATTACTAACAGGCTATTTCAGGCTATAAAATAACACTGAAACAAAAACAGTTTCATTGTCATGGTTTTCGTTTCCTTCTTGGATTTCCAATTCACAAAACGAAGAAGCAAAAAACCCCACATTTTATTAACATGGATATTAACTGATTCTAAAGTTTTCAGTGTCAAAAGTAAACCTTGGGTTTGTAGAGATGAAATTATTTGCAGGAAATGAGAGTGTCTCAAACACGTAATTAACTGAAATACATAATACACTTCTGCCAGTTGGAATGGATTTTAATGAAGACACCAAGCAAAAAAAGTCACTCAGAATGAATTATTATTTTTATGATTATTTAAATAAATAATTCAACTATCAAATGATTTATAAAAAGGGAGCTAAACCAACAGATTAAATCTCTAATCAACTCTGAAGAATGAGGCTGTAAAAGTGCACATCTCTATTCACCTCAGCACTTGTTTAAAAGGCCAAACTGATCCCAAATATCAATTAAGTTCACTTACTGATATATTTTCATTTCCCTGCTTCTTTAATATAATGGTTGGGTCATCTGTTGAAAGGATAAAAGTCATACTGATTAACAGAAATAGCAATATTCTCTCTAATTTACCATTACAACTATGAAATTACAGGAAATATCATTATAATCCTTTATCAAAATACCACCAAAGCACCTGTAGAATCTTTAGGCTTAAAAACTTAACAATAAATACTTATTTTTAGTGGGAAATCTGCCTGGTCCAGGTGGGGCCCTTTGCCTACTCACCCATTTTATCAAAGAATTCATCTAAAGCTTGATGAAGGAAAGGGAAATGTTCTCTGTTGTCCTCTAAAAGCCATATAAAACAACGGGTTTTCTCTAGGGGGGGGTTTAAGAAATAATCACAAATCTCTTGCTTTTCAGTTGTAGTCACATAATCAAATTTCCTGCCATACTTCTGGTTCCAGAGAGGGGCTAAAATAGAGAAGTCGAGTTCTTGCAATAACTTTTCATATTGATGGAGGAAGTTTTTTGTAGCTGTCAGACCTGAAAGAGATGGAAAAAACCCCAAATGTTTCATTCCAGCTGCAGAGTTTTAGTGCTTAAAAAATTATATTCCTCTCCAAAAGGAAGCACTTGGTTCTGGAAATTAAATATCCAGTAGCTTGAAACACGTGAAAATGCAAACAAAAAAATGATAAATGGGGTTTAGGTCAATTTTAATCAACACCAAATTATTCACTTGTGTAATGAATCCATATAAATTCCTGAAAGGACACAGATGCAACAGAGTAGAATGAAGAAGACCCAAATCTCCTCCAAGGTTTTGGCATCTGATGCCTGGAAAAATCTTCCTCCAATTATAAATCCATCAGGAAACCACAGCAAGGCACCACAAGTTACTCCTGAGTTTAGCACAGGCAGCTAAACTTTAATGACTAAAACCCCACCAGGATTTACTTCCCAGAAACAGATCTCATTTATGCAAATATTCTCATTTTTAAGCCTATTCTGGAATTTAAAGACAACAAGAGAAAATAAACCTGCTGCATTTTCTCCTTCCCTCCTGGACAAAGCCCTGCCCACATCAGGTTGTGCTT